ATAAATTACTACATATATATATATATTCTAATTTTCCTTAAATAAACGTTTAATAACTTCAGGAAATATAATTATCTCCATAGTTTGGAAATTTCAAAGTTGTACCGTGATGTGAGCAATTTTACAATTTGCGTTGATGTAGGTTGATTGAGAAACAACTGCGTTAAATTTTCTTTGTAAAACTAGTAACTAAAGGAGCAAAAATTAAAGACCGAGGCTTTCAAGGACTCTAATTAATTTATGCCTATCCCATACTGTATCAAAGCCGTCGTGATGAGAGCAAAGTTCAAAATTTGAATGAATAGCGTTTGTGACATTGCTCTTCTCTCTCTTTCTCTCTCTCTCTCTCTCTAAATAACTTTGAACTTAGCGAGAGTATTCGTTAATTAGGTACGTACAAAGATGGGAGAATCCTTTACAGATTTACTCAAACATACCGTTACATTCGAGATATAAAAGCATTTATCGTTAGATATGGATGTTGCCCTTTTTACCTTTTATCCAAATTGAAGCCACCGAGTTGCGCTTCGCTGTTATTTTCACAATTTCCAAGTACATAATCCAAGTAGCTGTCACACTTAACAGCTGTAAATCCACCCGAACGAATCGATTCCGCATAAAACCTCACACCCTTAAAATGAGCGCATATCACTTCTCCATAACACCCTGGCTGTGCGAGAATGCCGTTGGGGTAAAAGTCTAGATGGCCTACTTGTTCCTTTAAGCCCAAAACGCTGGTGTGAATGACTTGAACGTAGCGTGCTTTGTTGGCATCAACGTAGACTATTGGTGGTGTCATGTCAGGTGGATCGATGGCCACTATGGTACCGATGGTACCATTCAAATGTCTGCCAATTTCTCCTGAAATATGAGAGCCCATACTATGCCCAACAAAGTTAAAATGGTCTTCCGATAACGAGAATTTATTCTTCATATTTGATATGTAGTCGGCAAGAATCTTTCCAACTCCGACTATTGCTAGATCGTGAATGGTTATACTGCTGGCCGGACCACTGTAATCTACCACGAAAACGTTGACATCCCCTGCTTCAAGAAGGGGAGGACGGATGTCTAAATCTAGAGTTTCCCGGTTGCAAAACAATCCATGAATTATGAAATAGTTTGGAAGCGATGGTCGATAATGAGAAGATTCTAAATCGTTCAAGTCGTGCAAAGATATTTTGTCGGGAACGTCGGGATTGTCGGGGGTATACAAATAGAATGTGACGTCACTCACATCCACCGAATATTCGTAGTTATCAATAAAAAGTAAACCTAAAACAACTCTTATATTACACCAATAACGATACACAGCACATTTCCACTTACTGTTCACAAACGTCAAGAAGATCACGGCAAATCCCACCAGAATCGATTCAGATGTTAGGTTTCCCATTTTAATAGAGATTGAATCGATTCCAAGGTTTATATTACAGTTTATATTCCTTGCACGAGATGGAACGAAAATATTCGAAATGATAACGAAAATAGATTGTAACGTAAATGTACTTATTGAATATCAGCCGTTGTTAGAAAAATGATTACGTATGTACTCATAGCTTAGTGATGTAATCGAATTTCATTTTCGCAAATATCACAAACAGTTCCTAAAAGGAACATGTTTCCAAAAAATATTTGCAGATTGCAAAAATTTTATTGTTTATTTAACATTTTATAACGACAGCCCTGACATTTGAATCGCCTTAACAGTGATGTCACTCAAGGAATGCTTTTATAACACAAATTAATTGATAGCTTACATTTCGTAAATAAAAATTTCTATATTTAATTCTGTAAAATTTTTACAGAACTAATTACAGGTTGCCAGTGTGCGAACAATGTAAAGAAACATTTTTGTCGTCAAAACTAATTAGTCCGAGTTCCATGATGCAAATTGACAATAAAAATAATCGACAAAATAGATCGTACTTGTTTATTCTAAATCCCTAGTTTGATTTCACTGCTGTAATCAACGCAAAATTTTGTTTAAAACTTGTCTGATTTCTTAGTTGTAGCATTTACACTTAATATAAACAATTAGAAACATATTCACGCTAACACTGTTGTGGGTAAAACCCAAAGAAAAATAAAAGTTGATAGGTGATCTTTGACGGAACTTTTACGAATATCGCCAATCCCATTTGAAAGCACAGTACAGTTATTTAGTTGATTATTACTCACTGAAGTTCAGTGCTCTGCACTAGCGCGCTGTTCAGAAATTATACGTAAAAAAATACAACGTGTAATAATTATACAACACGCTACTGAAGTGAAACTTCTTCAAACACACAAACCTACTGGGATAGGGATTAAGGAATTGACGTCAGTGGCGTCGTTTCGACTGTAGAGTGTAGGCACACTTACACAAACACATCCAAATACATTCAAACATTATCTTAAGGCTACACTATACATGCCGGAGTTATCTGTAACGAACGTTGCATTGAAGCGCGCTCACGGCTGAAGCGATCCCCACTACGAACTCGACTACGTGGTCGAGTAGAGGGGGACATCCGTTGCATGATTTCGTTACATAGCAACTCGCATGAAACGAACTTACGCTTTCGTGCGTAAAAAAGTTTCACTTCAAAAAGTAATCGAAAAAATCAGTTATACTTCATTTACTTTCTCTACCGATGTGCCCCTTCCAATGTCTTGGATGCACGCTGGCAAAATCGCAGGTAGGGAGAAAAAAGCTCATTATACACTCGACTCTTGTTCATTAAACATGCTTTTTCATACAGTACCTGCCAAAAGTTTTCTTCAATCATGAATAGTAGTGCGAGTCGAAAACAAACGTTAAAGCCTTTAATATGTCTTCAAATATAAATAAACATGTAGTTGATATTTTCAGTAGTAAATGGTATCAATAACAACACAGTTGAGCAATGCAATTGTAGTGGATAAAATGGTCAATTTTTCCGTGCAGTACTGTACGGATTATACGCTCCTCACCGGTTAAAAGTTTGGCCGAAAGTTGTCTCCTTCCTTTTCTGGCCTAGTGCTGTTCTTTTCTACTTTGCGCCGGTCAAACTGAAGGTAACATCGTTACAGAAAGTTAACGAAGTATACATAAATCAGACGCAGAGAAATTCAAATAATAACAAGTAAAGATGAGATGGCATTCACTATGATACATCACGTTTGTTCTTATCATTATCAAGATATTAATTATTAGAAGGTTAAAAAAACTCTTATTAATAAGGATAACCGATAAAGATGTAAACAATCAATTTATTTTTTATACATAAACATTTATTAATTACGTAAAAAATGTAAAGTAATAAAATTATCTATACACATATACTGCTAAAAACATTTATTAAATATATCACAATTAATTCCCGTTTTTGTTAAATATGACCTTAATCCATTGAATAAGGGGCTTCACTATTTGTAATTAGGTAATAGGTTCCAGTTGAACTACAAAAAAGGTAAAAGTAAATAAAATAAAACATAGCGCTTTAAATTTTTTAATTTATGTAGCAATATGAGGTAATAACGAGAGTATTCGTTAATTAGGTACGTACAAGACGGGAGAATCCTTTACAGATTTACTTAACATACCGTTACATTCGAGATATAAAAGCATTTATCGTCAGATATGGATGTTGCCCTTTTTACCTTTTATCCAAATTGAAGCCACCGAGTTGCGCTTCGCTGTTATTTTCACAATTTCCAAGTACATAATCCAAGTAGCTGTCACACTTAACAGCTGTAAATCCACCCGAACGAATCGATTCCGCATAAAACCTCACACCCTTAAAATGAGCGCATATCACTTCTCCATAACACCCTGGCTGTGCGAGAATGCCGTTGGGGTAAAAGTCTAGGTGGCCTAATTGTTCCTTTAAGCCCATAACGCTGGTGTGAATGACTTGAACATAGCGTGCTTTGTTCGCATTAACGTAAACTATTGGTGGTGTCATATCAGGTGGATCGATGGCCACTATGGTACCGATGGTACCATTCAAATCTCTGCCAATTTCTCCTGAAACGTGAGCGCCCATACTATGACCAACAACGTTAAAATGGTCTTCCGATAACAAGAATTTATTCTTCATTTTTGATATGTAGTCGGCAAGAATCCTTCCAACTCCGACTATTGCTAGATCGTGAATGGTTATACTGCTGGCCGGTCCACTGTAATCTACCACGAAAACGTTGACATCCCCTGCATCAAGAAGGGGAGGACGGATGTCTAAATCTAGAGTTTCCCGGTTGCCAAACAATCCATGAATTATGAAATAGTTTGGAAGTGATGGTCGATAATGAGAAGATTCTAAATCGTTCAAGTCGTGCAAAGATATTTTGTCGGGAACGTCGGGATTGTCGCGGGTATACAAATAGAAAATGACGTCACTCACATCCACCGAATATTCGTAGTTATCAATAAAAAGTAAACCTAAAACAACTCTTATATTACACCAATAACGATACACAGCACATTTCCACTTACTGTTCACAAACGTCAAGAAGATCACGGCAAATCCCACCAGAATCGATTCAGATGTTAGGTTTCCCATTTTAATAGAGATTGAATCGATTCCAAGGTTTATATTACAGTTTATATTCCTTGCACGAAAATATTCGAAATGATAACGAAAATAGATTGTAACGTAAATGTACTTATTGAATATCAGCCGTTGTTAGAAAAATGATTACGTATGTACTCATAGCTTAGTTTTATAACGACGGCCTTGACATTTGAATCGCTTTATCAGTGATGTCACTCAAGGAATGCTTTTATAACATAAATTAATAGATAGCCTACATTTCGTAAATAAACATTTTTATATTTAATTCTGTAAAATTTTTACACAACTAATTACAGGTTGCCAGTGTGCGAACAATGTAAAGAAACATTTTTGTCGTCAAAACTAATTAGATCGAGTTCCATGATTAGTGGCCTTTTTGAAGCAGTAATCAATTAATAATTCCACATTGAATGGAATATTTACCTCAAAGCTTTTTAATTTTCAATTTATTATTTTAACAAAAATGGTTAATCAACTTCCAATTCAACATTAATGTATCACCCTTATTTCGTCGTATTAATAAACATAGTGTACCTACGTGTTGGTTATTAGTTATTACTCATCATTACAATAATGACATTGTAGTTTAACGCCTCTAAATACCTGATTACTAGTGAAATGGTTACCTATAACATTGCGCATTTAGATGTGTTCTACTAAATTACAAAGTAAACCAAACTACAAACTGGCTGCTTCTTTTGGAAATACAGCACATCTACAAGTTAAATGTTGGTGTTATTTTAAATATATCTAAAAGAAATGGAAACAAACAACAAAATGTTATAGTAAAATAAGCATTTAAATCGCAGGATAACGACTTCAGGGTGCTGTAAATAGACAATATAAAAGCATATTTGGAATAATTGACAAATAGGCAGTAGGTACCTACTACTCTAAATTTCTAGTTTTATTTCACTTCTGTATTAACGCAATATTTGGTTTCAAACTTGTCTGATTTCATAGTTATAGCTCGTTTTCTCAGAAACGAATAGTTATTGAAGCAATTATATAACTTTTATAATTTTAGTCCATTTATCTCTATTTGTATTTTATTTTGACAATATTATTTTTAAGTTATTCATAGTCATGCTCGGCCACTAGAGTCATTTTACAACCCTGCCAGTTTGTAACTTTCATTTCGTATTTCCAAATTTCTAGGTAAGCTTGCCGGCAACATCTGTACATAGACCAGTTCATTCATGTTCAATGTACATGTACATTGTATTATTAGTAAATAAGAGTCCGATCTATGTATCTCAATTGTACTTATATTCGCATTTTCAGTAACCACCGAGCGGCATGGCCTAGTGGTTTAGACCATTGCTTAGCATTCGGGAGGACGCCGGTTCGATTCCGGGTCCGTCCGTTCGTCTGCCTTGGTCCAAGTTTTCTGTGGTTTCCTTGGATCACTTAGGCAAATGCTGAGGCAGTAATATTCCACAGATAAGCACTCAATCTCTTCTGTCTTCATTTCGTCCGTCTCAACTTTCTCACCCGAACCACCACCCACCCATTCCTACGATTCCTGAAAGCAGGCTGAAGAGGGCCTTCCGCCCTACCTTCCGGCATAGTCCGGAGGGACTGCCCGCCCACCAGCATTACTGGCTGGTGGG